CAGGAGAATTGCTGCAACTGTTATTCCACCCTATTACCCCATAACCATTTTGCTTACCCCCCCTCCAAACTTGTCTTCTATTGTATGAACTTTGCATTGTTACCACATTCTGATCACGCTTGTACTCACTGAAATCTTTCCGTCCTTTCAGGTTGGACACATCCCCTGGGAAATGTGAGCAACAGCTGCTGTGAGGCAGGAGCTGCAGGCCATGCCTTCTGCTGCCTCTCGCTGCAGCCACCCGCAGAGCAGCAGTACCATGGCAGCCCCCAGAAGCCAGCACAGCTTCCCATAGCCTGCTCCACAGGGAAAATCACAGGCAGAGCTGTGTTTTTCAAAGGGAAGCTTTGGTATGGATGAGGCAGATGGTTTTGACTGCAAGCCTGCTACTTCACTGCTCCCTGAAGACTAGATATGGCCTGTGGTTTGCCACTAGACTTTCTACAAAGCTGGCCCTATCCAAATAAAATATTTCTCCCACTGCAAACTTCGAGTATAATTCACTCGTGGCATTTTCTAACTACCATTGCCATCTTTTGGAGTTTGCTTTCGTGTAGTGGGCTCTGTATAAAGTCAGGAAGGAGAAGGGGAGGTGAGGACAGAGAGAACATGCGAAGTGTCCTCTGCCTCCCGTTAGAGGCTGAGCCCAAGGGTATTATAGCAGCCTGCTCTTTCTTTGCTCTGGTGTTAAAAGTTTACAGTAGAGATCCTTGGTTCAGTCCCGCGGACGGCTATATTGTTTATACTTATTGAAGACAATGCTGATTACATCATGATAGCTGTTTTTCATTCACATACATGCCAGGGTAGTAAAATTGATATGGAACCAACTCAGAATGATGGGGAAATTCCTACGAAAGTCGAGTTGGGTGCCAGTTACAAATGATTTCCAGAAGAGCTGGAAAATGCAGAGTGTAAGGTTAATTTTTTGTATTTTTTGGTATTTATTCAAGTGCAAAACATGCGGACTCTTGCCTGAATTCTTCTCCCTCTCCAGATTTCAACCAAACAATTAACATTTCTCAGATAGTTCTAATAGTTGGATCTGTGTTGATTGTGGGTTTTCTGTTTCAAAGAATATTCAGTTTAGACAGGACTACATTTTTTTCATGTTACTGATGGCTAAAAATATTTTCCCTGTTATCCAATAAAAACACAGTGAAGCTTCAGTTCTAGTTTCAAAATTATATATATCTGTACATACATATGTAAATATTAGTTGGTGAGGAATGAATTTGTTAAATAGTGAGGGTCAGGGCTACACCAGCGGCTGAAATGTGTTATTTATCAGCAGATCATTTCAGTCAGCACAGCACAGCATGTGAACTTCCTCACACCACTCTGCCAAAGCTCCCCACATGGCTGACCTGCCTGCTGACTGGAGCTTCAAGGAGCTTCCAGTCTCCATCTGGGGATTCAATCTCACTGCACTGCTTGTGCCTACGTGATAGCCCAACTTTTCCCCTCTGTCGGCCCCAGCACAGGAAAATAAAACCCTAAAGGCCTGACTTGGAGACAAAGTTTCTCCACAGACAGCTCTGCTCTCTCACACTGATTTGAGTGGGAGAAGCCCAGGGTGTGACTGCCACCCCTTCCTTTATGTTGCCAAGAATATGAGTTGCTCAGCACACAACTATACAGACTTTCTGTAAGTTGTAATAACTATAATTTGAATAATCTGTGTGTCCAGGCAGTGACTGTCATTTATAAATGTTCCAATAGAGGGGATCTATAGGAGGGAAAAAAATGAATTTATTTGCTTTGAACATCTGGGGTATTTTAATACCAAGGTGTTGAAAAAATTAACCTACCTTAAAATACTGTGTGTTTTTCCTTCTTGTGTACCCCTTTTTTTTCTATCCCATCTTTAAGAACTTTTTAAACAATGAGGGCACCTGACATTTTTAAAATCAGAGGTGTCCAGAAAATGGAAAGTCCTTGTCCATTTTCTCCTTATTAGAACAGGTTTCTTAAAATATCCCCCAATGAGTATACAGCGACCTTAAAAATCTTATTTATATTCAGAATTTTATGTTGGCGTTTGAGCTTTCACAGGGCATTAGAGTTGTCATTTGATTAGCACTAAATGATATATCCAGGTTATACGGAAAGAGCTGTGCCTCTCCCCAGGAGATGAAGACTGTCCTGGCTCTGCTACCATACCTAATTGTAGAGGGTAGAGTGCAACTGAGCAAATGGAGGTACCAGGAAACTTTAAAATTCAATACACAGACACACTGTGGTGGCTATTTATATAGTGGAGACAGCACTCAGACTGGATTTAGCGCTAAACATTTTACGAGACAAGTACTTTCCAGTCTGAGATGGTCAGACTACTCCAAAGAGATCTGCAAATGGCAGCTAAGGAGAATAAGCACATCAATATTTTGCATCAGTCTACATGTGCAAAATGTGAAATGAAAGGGTCTGCAACCTTCCCTGGAAGAATTTTAGGGACTCACAACCTCTAAAGATTAAAAACACTGATTTGAGAGTAAAAAACAACAAAATATTTTCTATTATTTGGGAAAATGTAGTATTCAAGGAAAGGCAAGCAGAGCTACTCAGAGAAGCCAAAACAAGACTGTGTGTTTAGTTAATGTGAGGGAGATGAATAAGAGATCTTGAGAAGATCAAAATGCCAGTTTTGTCAATCAGCAATTGCTCGAGACAGCCAGTGTTAAAAAGGCAGGAATCACATTCTCACTGCTTATTCCTTCACCTCAAAAGTTTCATTTATCTGCTGACTTGCCTAAACCTTACACTTAACAACCTCAGACTAATACATGCAAAGAACCTAGCTGTCACAATGCTCAGACTTGCATCACACCATCCTTTTATGCCTCCTCAGGAGACAGAAAGGAAAAATAAGTTGGAGACTTCCTTCAACACTACAGAATGGTGCTAGGCAACAAGAACTTCTCAGACATTGACTTGATCTGAGAGCCTTTCATCTTATAACATTAATAATAATAACAATCTGCTAAATAATAATAATTTGCTAATAATATCAGCAATTAATAACCATAAATAAAAATAAAAAGTAAGCATTGGTAATCTGAATAATCCCAAAGAAACTGAAAATCCAAACTGAAGCACTGACTGAAATACAGCTACTGCTGGCAAGGACAGCAGTGAGAGATCTCTTTATAGCATGTGACACAAAAGGAAAAGGGAGAAGAAGAAGAATGTCGCATTTGGAAGAAAAACTCTGTTCTTACGCATCCTTGAGTGATGCCGCAGTGACTCTCATTTTAGAGGGACTCACATGAATTCAAGGTTTTCCCAATAGGAGGATTGATTATACAGTGGTGGAGCCTTTCCAGTCCTAGCCTCCCTTACAGACAGTACATGCATTGAATGTCTTCTGTCTTGCTCTGCACTACTGAGGATTATATTTGTTTCAGCAATGTGCTTCTCCCTGAGGTTTTAAAAATAATATCAATTTGAAGCTGATTAAAAAAAAATAATCTTCAGTGAGATCCCCCTGCAGATGAGGTCTCCGTTTCTTTTGCTATTCCTCCTGGGCCAGGCAGACACATTACTGAAACAACTGGATCATACATTAAGTGGAGAAGATTGAGAGATTGTTGCTTTTGACGGATATACAGACTAGATAAACATGAGTCCAACAGCTCAGTACCTTCCACTGAGAATACCCTAGTTCTGTGGCCTAGAATTTTAAATGTGCAGCAAGGCTTCTCATGAAACCACCTAACAAGACGTCAAGCACTTATGTGTTAAGAAAGTGAAACTGCCAAGACTCTAGCACAACACAGTTTTCTAAAATAGATCCACTGAAATCAGTACGTGCATATGCTTCCAGAGGCAAACAGCAGATGAATACTAGAAGTATTAAGAAGCTGATACTGAAATTTGTAGGGGATGTTGTGTATAAAACCTGTTTAGGGAACTCTGGTTGTTTTTTAGCCAGTCTTTTCAATAAACATGACAAGCTGCTATGCTTTGCTTGCAGGGGACTTCCCTACCGGCTACAGGTTCCTGAATGAGTACCTTCTGAAGAGGCAGGGAATGGGGACGTGAGTCCACAGCACTACTGCACACCTGTGAAACTACAGCTTCCTAAAGCCATGTTACTTACCTGTGCTTCTGCTGCTCTAAATACTTTCGTACACAGTATTTCAAGACACCCTCTGTACTTTTCAGGCTGATACACTACATTACAAACATCTAAGAAATATGAAGTTGCAATGCAATCTCTATGGAATAATTTAATGTTAAATATCTCTCAAAAATAAGGTCTTGTGCTGGTGAACAGGAATCTTGGCCACTCAGTGTCAGGTATGCATTCAAATGCCATGCTCATGTGCTTTTTCATGCAAAACAACCACACTGAGTTTTGCATGCTGCTGTCATTTCAGAATACTTTCTCTTGGTCTGTTTATATGTTTAACCTAAACACAGTCTGAGATCTCATGCTGTGGGAACTAAGTGGCCATGTCCTTGGTACAAAGCCATCACTAAAGATTTTACCAGTTGCAAATCCTGTTGAGATTTCCTAGGAAAGGGAAACTGAAAATGTTGTTTGAGATAACAATTAGGAGGCTTTAAACTTCAAATTTCCCATAGACTCGCAAGAAGTGCAAACAATAATCATAGTGAATCAAACCCTAAAATCATTCTTCTTTAGGTGCTGTGACATGTAGATAAATATATTCATAAGCTTAGTAAAAGAAACTTGAAATAAAAGCCTGATTCTCGTGCTAATGTCTACCAAATGTACCCATTGTGACACAAAAAAGCAGATTAACTTTCATCAGAAGTGACACAGACAAGTTATTCTTGGATATCATTATGCCTGCTACATCCAACAATTAGTTAGTGAAGTTGGTTTACGAGTCACATAAAGTACATCTGCTGGCAACGTGAGATTTACAGCTGTGATGAATACCTCATGTTGCTAATTATAGAAAAAATGGTCACAGTGTCCTTGCAATAAAGTCTTGGTTAAAGTATGAAAGGAACAGATTATTCCCTACCTTCTCAGCGTCTTGCTCAAAAAGCCGGAGTTGAAAGCACTGGTCCAGTTTCAACTTGCGGACATGCCACATCTGATGCAAGTGTTGCCGGGTAGAATGCAGCTTGTCTAAAAGGCTGGTGATCTTTGGCACAAGACTTTGAAAATCTGCACTTCCAGGAATGCAGTTCCTACCAGAAAAACCATCACTGCATCTTATGCATTGTAATAACCTCTGACCCTCACGATCCAGTTCTTCCACAGGAGCTTTAATCACTTTTTTCTTAAGCTGTGTGTGCTCATCAATCAGCCTTCTTGAGCCCTCAACATCAACTGGAAACTCCTTTCTAGCCAACATTTCCTGGAGATCCTCCAGCCTTGATAATAAATGGATGGCGCTGTTGAAAAACTCTTCCAAGGAGACGCGCAACTCTATCCATTCATCGTGGTTGTAATCCAAGGATCCTTCAAACTCATCTGTCAGTTGAGAAGGATCTACGAGTTTTGCCAGGCCTTCAACAGATACCATACTTGTCTAAGGAAGGGAAAATGACAGCATTTGAATCAGTGACTGTCTAATCAGAAGTAACAGTGCGATCCATAAATAGCATGAAGGGATTCTTTTCCTCATCAATACATAACTGAAGGAACATTGTAAAAGATGCTGAGGACTATGTTTAATTTTGATGAATTAATTGGAATGAACACTATTCTATTAATGATACTGATTTATTTATTTATTAAAAGACATGATATTTACTGGAATAATGTCTATCTTTTTAGCTGGCCTGACTATCAAAAACATATAATGAGAATGCTTCTGCCATAGATTACTTTAACCCAGCTGGACACTGAAGACTTCTTACTGCAGCTGTTGGGTATCTGGACATGATTGTTCACTAAACACGTATATGGTATTGCCGGAATTCTGGTACTTGTGTTACACTCAGGCTAGTGGCTATACAGCAGCAAAAGTTTTAGGCATATGAACTGAAGCAGGTGTTGTAACCTGCCAAAACACAGAATATGGAATGATGATCTTAGAGGTCCTTTCCAATCTTAATGATTCCTAGTTTTTACTTTCATTATAAATAGTCCAGCCACCAAGCCAGGAAACATGGAATTGCTACTATACCCTTAATTGTTTTAGTGGTGGACTTGGTAGTGTTAGGTTAATGGCTGGACTGGATGACCGTAAAGGTCTTTTCCAACCTAAACGATTCTATGATTCTATGCTTGGTTTTTTTTCTGGATTATTCCATTTGGCTTTTGCCACAGGCAGATCTCTTTCATATTAGTAATTTCTAAAGTAATTAAGCCAAAAATCAAGATAAAAGTGAAATGTGATTGGAGAATTAACAATTAGAATTTATTGCTAATAGAAAGTACTGCTTATGAATCATATACAATCAGTGAGAGATGGTTTTAATTCATTCAGACTCAGTAATCAGTGATAGAGAAATGCACTGGGTGCCTGCAAAGCAGATTACAGTTTAAGGATGCAACAACTGATGGCTGTGCCCATTTATTTTAGACAAATAATTTTTTTCTGAAATACGAGCATAGGGTTTCATATGTTACTAGAGATTTTCAGTGCTGTCATGTTAACACCAAGTTGGCAGCCCTTAAAAGCTTGTGATGTTCATCAGCGACTGCATATGTATCCCTTAAAGATCAGGCGTCTAGAGAATGTCAGAGTTTGTGCTCTCCAGAAGTGGAGGCACCCAATAATCATAGCTACAAAGTCAGCTACAAAGAAAAATACCTCAAATCCTGTCCATTATCCTGACTTACGTCCAAAATAGCAGGCTGCCCACTGGTTTAAAGTTAATAATAGTCTTTTCTTCCAATTTGTATTCATCCAAATATATCAGGCATACTGCAATGTATTAAAATTGGGGTTGTATTGAGCTTACGCTCAGCAGAAAGATTATTTTAAAACTTTCTTGCAATGTTCCTTGCTTTGGGGAGGGGGGAGGACAGAGAGAAGAGCCAACAAACAATGGGAAGGTAAGTATGTAGCTTCAGAGGGATTTCAAATTTCTAAACCTCTTGCCCTCGACACTGACCCCTTGAAGATAATTCAATTTAGAGTTTAACTGCCTGTCAAGAAAAGACTTCTCTTCATGGCTAATACCTGGGCATTCCCCTGCAGTGTGTCAAGCTAATGCAGGCACTGCTCTTATCATGAACAGAATTTGACATGATGATATAGCAGAAAGGCTTTTCATTTCACAAATTCTGCAGCAAATTTCTTTATTCAGACTTGTTTCTTTAAGGAGTTCTTGAAACTCTCATGAAAACAACCTTAGTTAGGCAGGTAGGTGGCAAGATAAAGTAACTGTCCCTCAGGCATCACCTGTTTTTCTTTTAGAAATCACTTTAAAAAGCACTGCCCACTATTTAAACTCTTTTGGCAGAAGAAAGAAAATAATCTTGAAGGCACCTCTGAACAAATGCTAACTAAGCTGCCTGGTCCATTCCTAAAAGTGACAGGAAGCTTTGGACTCCACATATATCAACCAAACCCTTTCTCTTTTTTTGTTCTTTGTGTGATGGTCTGTGTGCATGCTTCAGTCTGGACTGTGACACGGAATCATTCTGCCAGAGTCTCACAACACAAAATCCAGACCATTAGCCTCCACTAAGGGTCATACACTGCCCTGGCACATGCATAATGCTTCCATTAAGCTCAAAAGCAGAATCTGGCCTTAAAACTGACACCGGTTACTGCTGAGTTTGTAGATGGGGTAATTCAACAGAAACTTCCATTGCCTTCCACTGCAATCTGTTCCTGCCAAGGACCTCATGTTTGATCACAGCTGTGGGAAGTACCATGATGGTTCAGTGCAGAGAGGGTACCTGTGTGCTGCCCCACATAAATCAAAGAAATGTGAGTCATGTTGACCTGCAATGCTTATTTGATATGCACAGTTCTTCGTATGAGGGAGCATGAGCTGCCCCAGAGCCTGAGCCTACCGATAAGCAGCAGCATCCACGAGAATCCTTTATAACAGAAGTTCCTGGACTGTGGTGTGTATATTGCAGGGGATCTACTGTACAGTGGACCACAGCTTAAGAAATCTTTTTAAAATCATAGAATTGAAGGACTCATCAGTTCTGAGTGTCTGCAGGTGGTCCAATAGGCAGCGAAAGCACTGACTCTCCTCCTCCAGTCCAAATATTTGTGACCCATTACAGACATCCATATGAACAGCCCAGCGGACAGACTAAGGCTCAAAGGCACACACACAAAATGAAAATAGCCTTAATGCATGCCAGCATGTACAGCAAATGAGTCCAGAGCTTTTAACACAATACAGACTCGGAGCTGTAACTATGAAGAATAGCTTGACCGCAGTTTACTCTTCACTATCATCACACCAACTCCACACAATAAAAAAATATAAGTTAAGCCTCCAGAAAGCATGACTTCATTTTAAAAACAAACAAATGTTCTAAAAATATGTATTTGAACTCTGTTACTTTAATTCTAGGTTTTGAAGCTTTAGGAAGACATTGGTTTTGTTTATTAAAGCACTGGAGGATTGAAATTCAGTGTTGGATATACGTGTATAAGCTGTCTTTTCTTGGACTACTATGGGACTGCCCCTCAGTGCCCGTATATCTTTTAAACAGAAGCTCTCCATCCCCAATAGCTATTCTATTACTAGTCTCTGCACAGGCTCCCTCCTGCTCCATGTTTTTGTGTACCTGTACATCTCCTTTCTCCTTCCCACTGCCCTGATCTCTCTCAGTCCCCACAGGCAGCATTGCCAATCTCATTGCATGGTAATGGCAGACACTTCTGCCACGAGCAGTGATTTCAGTAAGTGTGAAGAATCTCTGGAGGTGACATAAACCTATACTGAACGCAGCCTCGCTTTCAAAGGTCCATAGGGGATAGCAAGTGGAAGTTATTTTGGTGGCTGAGTCCTCATAGGTAGCCAAGGAAGGTAAAGACCCATTTAAACAAAGCAAAATTTATGAGTTAACTACTTTTTGTGATACAGAGGGGAAAAAATGTACAAATACTTAAATTGTGATAATAATGTAAAAGTTTTTTAGTGCTTAACACCAATCTAGTTGGTCATTGCAATTCAAGAGTGCTTTTAAGAATAGTTTGAAAATAAGGACTTATTTATATCACACTGACTTCAACAGATCTTAAATATATACTTAAATATATTCTTCTATTGCAGTCAACATTAAGAACTATAGACAAATTCTCTTCTGAGTTCCAGAGATGCAAAATCTGAGTGTGTCTCTGAAACTAATGGATTGGTAAGAAAGACAGCCAATGACAGAATTATTTCTCAGCAAGTTAAACAAAACCCAACACATGACTAACTCGTGGCTGGGCATGGTTGATGTATGAGCACTTCATGCACCTCAGCTTTGCTTCTCTTTGGGGAAGAAGCTGAAATTCACAGAAGACTAAAGTGCATCAGCTGGTTTGTCTTCACCAATGACAAAGTTAGTAAAATTTCCTTTAATTATGCAGTTGTTGTATATTGGTTACTTCTCAAAGAACCTGCCTGAGGCACCTTATCATTAACATGACTTGTTAATGTTACACCTGAATTATAAATCTCAATTAAGTTAAAGCAGTGACAATATCTAGATAAATTTAGTATAAATCTGTTTTATTAAAAAAAGCCACTACCTGAAGTTGGGTATAGGTCAACTAACAAACCCATATATTAGCATCTAGAGAACTTTGTCTTTAGTATATTGACTGATTTGGTGGGGGCTTTTTTCTAAGAGACACAAAGGAAAGACTGAGTGCAACACCACCAAAAATAAATACCACAAAAAAACTCTCACCAAAGTGAACGATGTAAGTGAACCTCTGACATGAAATGTGCATCCCGTTCCACCAGTGTGCTCAGAAGGCAACCTGATGCCAGGGCATCAGCCCACTCCTGCAAACAGTCCTCAGATGTCTTTTTTTCTCTCAATCACAGGGCTTGGGATTTTTTTTTTTTTACCTGAAGAAAATTTCTTATCAGAGATAATGCTTTACCATACATCTCTCATGTGTCTCTCACCTCGAAGATGAACTTGGAACTGCCAAAGTTCGTTTTCTGCTTCTGCCAGAAATTATCAGGTTTTATAATCAGGGCAACATGAATCTCAGCAGGAATCTTTAGGAGAGGTTTGATCAAATCCCATTTGGATCCCCGCATATCGATAATAACAGTGAATCCTCGTTTACAAACATCTTCGCTGTAGGAATAAAAGCATACCAAGACAATTAATACTGTGGACAGTCACACTGAGACTCAACTTTTGTTGCTAGTGTTCAGTGCTTCAGATCAAAGCAAGGAATGATATACTTCAAAATAAAATGCAAAAGATAGTACAGCATAAAGGTTATATGAAAGGCTATATTCATTGTACCATAATCTTATTTACATGAAATTCAAGGGTATATATGACAGTTTAATCTCTAATTTCCCAGATACATGTAATTCAAATTTTCACTGAAAACATACATACTTTCACACAATTTAAAATAGAATCAAATATATCTGTATAGAAGCTATTTATGTGTACATACAGCGGATTCTGCTCTCAACATATTAAATTCAATCCACAAGCAAAGCCAACAAGCAGGGTCCTGTGCCCTAACATTGTTGGCCACTTTTAAATTTGGGTGCCTTCATTTTTAGAGGCCCCTTTAAGGGCTTTTTCAAAAGTGTCATTTCCAGAAAAGTGCCTGGCAATCATTCTCTGAAAGGAAGGTCCCTGTGGCTCAGCATGTGCACTGTTAAAATTGGGGCCCTTTTCCCTCCTGATTGATCTTCCAAATGTTGCAGGATCTTTTTCAATCTGCAGTCATACTTTTCTGCCAGCCTGTGCTCCCTCCCTTCTCAAAAGTTCAAGACAGTTATCTGGCCTGGTCATTGGCAATGCATGGGGCCCAAAAGCACCAGAGCATTAGCTTGCAAACACATCTTCCCTTTTTCCTCAGGAGAAGAGAGGAGAAAGAATAAAAGGACATGTTTATTCAAGTCAAATCTGGGCAGCTTTCAGCATAGGTTTTCCAGGGAGGTAGAATTGCTCCTCAGAAAAAGAGGTATGGCTCAAAAGTGTCATCCTCCATCTGCAGCAGCCACCATTTGATGAGATTTAGGAAGTGTCTACTCCTCTGACTAACCGGCTAATATATCTGTCATGCGTTGCATGTCTTGAGAGATATGAGATATGGTGTCTGCTTTAGGCCTCAAGCACCTGCACAAAATGTGAAACTCCCCATCCCCAATAACATTATTGGTATGATAAATGAGTAAAATTCATTGGTGATGCACTAAAAATGCCAGAGTGCTCTACCTGCTGATCTAATTTTTTTTTTTTTTTTAAGGTGGAATGGAGGTCACAGCCTTTTCCACAGAAGGAGAAGCTGTTGGAAGAAAGGAAGCATGGAAAGAAGAAAGGAAGATGAAAACAGAAAGAACAGTTGAGAAAGAAGAGAAACATGGCAGAACATGAACATATTTTGTATAATGAATCCAACAGTGAGGTACAGAACAAGAAATCCTCTTTAATGCATTAATATAGCACCTTTGACCTTTCTGCAAACTGGCCATCGACATAAACAGGACCAATAATGTGGACATAAAGGCATATGTAAGATAATTTAAAATAGCAACTCCTGATATCACTGGAATGAATCTGAAATATGCTGAGGACAGGTATTATTAAGTGTGGTTATAATGCAGAAGTTGTAAGACTGTTTAGCCTTCACACGAATACTCTCAGTACACAAACACACAGGATGATTTTCACTATACTCTACCTCTCTAAAATCTTGAAGCACTCTTTCTAATAAGATCAAGCTCCTACATATCTCACTGGAAACAACCCTGTAAAGCTTACAACTAGGTTTCTGTGCTGGAACAAGGACAGGGATATCGTTCATAGGAGGTACACTGGGTTAACATATATAACTTAAAAATAAAAGTCCTTGGTGACCTTACCAGCATCTAGAAAGATCTGTGCACAGATGGACCACCCCATGGCAAAGCAGATTTTGCCATGGATGATCTTACAGGTCTTTTCCAACCTAAACGATTCTATGATTCTATGTTAAGAGAGTTCGCTAACTTGAACAGTCTCAACTTAGTGCCAGAAGGGAGCCGTCAAAGCCAACAAGCTTGGTCCTCTGCCTTAATATTATTGGCACCTCTAGAGCGCACCACATACAACAGTCAGTGCAAAGAAAAACTAGGGAGACTAGGCACTTTCAAACACTGTCAGGAATATAGATCTTTTTATTCTCCTTTTACCTACTGCTGAAAGGTCAGACATCTGATCCTTCCATAACTAATGCCAAAAAAGGCTGTAAAAGAAGCCTTTGTTGGTGGTGCTACTGCCTCTTGCCCTTTGGAATGAAAGCTGAGACAAAGAATCAAATCAGAAAGAGATGAATAGAAGGGGGTTTGTGTTTTGTTTTGGTTTTTCTTTTTCTTGCAGAGCTTTATAGGGTCTTCAGTAACTTCTGCCAAGTCACAGATCACTGTTATCCACTGACTTTTCCAAGGACTGATTTTTCTTTAAACACTTGACAAAGAGATCCAGGAGCCATATGGGCATATGGAGAGCCCCGACAGCAGATGCAGTAACAGGTAAGTGCACTCTGTCTTTTCTGATATAAATAAATAAATACCCACCCCACCCCATTGCAGCCATAGCAAGGCATAGCCAATATTAACTTCATTCCAACTCCCCATGACTGCTGCCAACTTGACAACTGACCAAGTCTGATCTAAAACAATAACTTAATTTAATACTTACTGATGAACAACAGAAAAACCTGTTTCAGTAAGCAGAACAGAAATGTCCTGAGGGACCGTAGTCTTCCATGTATGAACCTGAACTAAAGTCTTAGACCCAAACAGACCCAAAATTGGACCCTGCCCCCAGCTTTAGAGTGTAGGCAGTGTGATATCATCTTGACACCCATGATTACATACCACCACAACTGGAAGATCAGCCTGCAGTAAGATAAATATTCCAGACAGGGAACTGTAACAGAGATGTAACTATGGGCTGTATTCTGTGTTTACTGAAGGTTTACAGCCTCTCCGGACCCTGGACATGCAGACAAGCAGTGGAGGGAGCAGACAGTACTGCCACCTATTCCCATCAGCACACCATGCCTAAGCATGCGTGTGTGAAAAAATGCTCCACAACACCCTAGACCCCTACTTTCAGGTTTTTGGAGACTTCACAGTATGTTTGCAGTGGAAGAAGAAAGAGTAACAATTCCCCAGCTTTTTCTGGTGGACACAGGAGAACAGGCACTGACCCTGTGGGCCAGGCTGGGATATCAGCCCATGGGTAGGGATCAAGATGCTTCCTGATTCTTGTCCTGGAAGAGGCAATAAGCAGTCATTCCCTACTAGCACTATCCACACTCCTTATAACTAGACTGAATTTTCAACAGGCTTAGTACATTTTCAATTTTGAAACTGATAGAATGCAGGGATGGAGGAGGAGGAAAGGAAGCTGAATAATCATAGATTTCTTAGGTTCAAAACACATCAACAATTCACTATTTCAATAATAATACAAAACTCAATGCAATGCTCTTAATTACAAAGAGGATTTCCCTACTTGCTTGCCCACATAGGCATGTAAGTTCCCATATGAAATAAAATAAGTGAAAAGAGGGGTACCCCTTTTCAATTACAGTGCAGATAATGTACAAATGGATGGTATTTATCATTTTGAGCAAATTTAACTGTGTTTCAAGAACCTTGCTCTCAGTCTTGCAGAAGTGTCTCTGCTTGCAATTTTTTTCTTTAATGAGATGAAAGGTACCAACCTGTAACAAGACCTGTGGGTCTGTAGTCTCATTACAGAATTTGATCTCCCCAGCATAGTGATAATTCCACATGTCCTTCCCTTTGCAGAAAATTAGCACCTGATTTCTAAACCTGCTTGTCAAAAACTATTACCGAACAGTGTTTAAACTGTTGCAAGCCAGAAAGCTGTCTGCTCACTACTTCTACTTTCAGTTGCTGAGCCTGCTGTGGAGAGGGGTGCCTTTGAGAGCACTTAGACTATACAGGTAGGCAGTCAGATACTAATCAGGCACTAATACCTCAGAGAAAGAAGAGTGAGATAAGAAAATTATTTAGATTGTAAGCTCTTCAGGGTAGGGACCTGCCATGCTGTGTTTGTCTAAGGAGCCTGCCTTGGTGGAGGTCTCCAGGTACCTATACTCATACTTCAGCTGTCTAGAATGAATTCCAAAAAATTACTCTTCAGGAAACTATAGATGCAAATCCAAAGAATTAAAAATAATGAGCAATAACAGTCTGTAAAAACACAAATGAACACATATGTGAACGTACAAAAAGGCTTACCTAAATGTGGGGACACCTCATAGGCGATTTATTTTAAAAAAACTAAAAAAGATCAAAATTTAAGTTGTGATATCCAAATATTTACAGCTATTGATAGGGTCCTAAAAAAGTTGGCCTTGTGTAGACATAATGAAGCACCCATAAAATCTGACGAGTCGGAGCAATCTGTGAAGATTTGTCATCTTTGACAGTCAGTCATTTTTCTTCAGTTACCTCAACATGTAGCGAGGAAATGACCCTAGGTTCCTCTTATATAGTCTAGCCATGTTTATTAAATTTATTGTTTAAAAGCAACAACTCAAACCTTTCCCAGTCTAGCAATTGATCGGGAAAAGCATGAGTAGCAATCAAGCTTCCTCCACACTGTCCAAGCAAGACATGCCTTATCCCTGGCTCCCAAGATGCTACATCAATCCACATATCTCTTACGCACAAGTAATCATTTTAGGATGGCAATTAGTGTTGATTGCAGTGCTTAATTTTTTCCGGTATTGATATTTGACCAGAAACTGGAGAAAACACTCAGATCAAGGTACTTGGACAATCCATCAACCTTTTGGCTGTGCTCATCTGGACTAGATTTGCAACAGTGAGTACAAAGTATTTGATAGTTGATATGTCATTTCAGTTGCTACACTGCTTGTAAGCAAAAACAAAGACCAGCTTCTAAGTTTAATAAAAATACCCTTGAATATTTGTGAAAACAATACTCAATACTTACAATCTGGATTTTTGTAAAAAAAAAAGCATAAAATTGAAACTCAGAAGCAGATGTGATAATTTTGTCAAAATAAATGCTGCTATTTTGGTTTCTAGGGTACTTTCATAAGGTTATTTTCTCAAATTTCCTCT